AGGTAGCTGCGGTGGTAGAGCCCCGTAGGTGGCGACAGCGATGGCAACAGCGTCACGGTTGGAGTAGCGCCGGCGGCGTTGCTGCTGCAGACGGAGATTTCTCCAGTGCAGTCGATCGCCAAGAACTTGTCTTGGCAGTGGACGATGGACCCCACAAAGAACTCCAGTTTGGTGTCGAGCTGCGTCCATGCGCTGTCGACTCCAACCCAGCAAAACGCGACCTCCGTGGAGCACCCAAGCAATGAGTAAATGAATGCACACTGTACCATTAACATAATCAACAAAACGAATCAAGCTAAATTGAAAAAATAAAAAGAAACAAAATCATGACTTAAAGACTATACGCACGTCACTCACGGTCACCTAGATTGGGAACGCCTGATGCCTTCATCTCAAGCTACATCTTTTCCTGTCTCCATGCGAAACTAAAACAATCAATATTTTTTCCATCCCTGCCTGCATGCAAATAAAAAAGAGAGATATGTTAGGTACCTAGTAAAATTATGTGTCTTGTGCAAAGATGATGAGTAGGACTCTAGCGAAGAAAACACTTTATAGCTTGGTGTTGAGGATCTATCGACCATAGCGGTTTATCAAGTATGGTATTTGTTAAATTAAACATCAGCTCAACTATTCAAGTGAACATAAGAACAAGATCCTTTTTTATTTCTTTTGAGCAAACCTATGATAGACAAATATACACTCATTAATTGAAAAAAATAATAACCTATGATAGACAAATGTACACTCATTAACTGAATAAATAATCAGACAAAGGCATAATCAGTGCCAAAAAGCAAAGTTCATTTCATGAGAGCAGGAGCAAGTCTAGACAGACAATCACATACATCTAAATTAGTACGATGTCTGTTGGATATACATACGTTTGTTAGTTTCTTGTGGAGCAATTTTTGCATAAATATATAGCCATGAATCTGGCTAAAGCTTGAGAAGATAGTGATTGCAGTACATAAACCGGATGATCGACCTTGATAAACGTTCCAAAAAATATGAGATATACAGTGTGCCCATGCGTTGTTACGGGACAACTAAATTTTTATATTAAAAATACATAGATCGCACAAGAAGATAACAATACTGTGAAATTAAATACCCACATTAAAATGATATCAATCCAAAAAGTAAAGTTCGTAAAATTAACACGGTCACGAAGAGCACGGGGTCGCAAGCTCACCGACTCTACTATATAGACCTTTCTAAATTTTTGTTGACTCAGATAATTAACAAATAAGCAATGCCCCGCCACATTTTTGTTGACTATTCACTGTGTTTTTTTTAAGAAAACATTGTTGACATCGTTGGTTTTTAACTTTTTTTACATCATCACTAATCCAATTGAAGAGAGAGGACCATAATGTTTTTTAAGAAAACAATGTCTATGAATTGTCACATTCTCAGAAAACTGAATTAGTTATCATCTTTCTATTTTTGTCAGTAAAATTATCTGAACTTTATATGTATAACCTAAAAACTGAACTGCTTGTCATCTTTCTATTTTTTCCAGTAAAATTATCTGAGCTTCATATTTATAACCTGGACTCAACATAGCCATGCTAAGACATAAAAAGTTACCTTAGTTACAATATCATTATATTAAGCTCAATAACATGGCAGTTGATTGTGCTCTGCATCAAGCATCAGTGTATCAATGCCAACCATTGACTCATCCTCTAGAGTTTATAAATGTAAGCCATGATAATAAATTGTAATAATTCAGGGCAAGTTCAGTGAGAAATCCCTCTTTTTCAAGGTTTAACTTCAGTGAGAAATCATCATTCTTTTTCTTGTCTACCTACATCAGATTGTTCAAAAATAAACAAAGATCAATCCATGGATATTTTGCAGTGCAGAGATAACTTTGTGACCTGGCTTGGTGTTGCTGTTACGGGAACACCAATTCAGCGAGCGAGGTCTAGAGGTGCCAAGGCCTGATGCCAAACATCTGAATACCATCCAGTGTAATAAAAAAATTCGCAAGCCAAAATTTCAGTGGCCATAAAAAAGTTGACAAGAGAAAAGTATCTAATATATTTTACCAGTAAAGTATCTACCATTGGTACACCAAGCTCATGAATTGAGACTATCAGTAAATAAATAAGGCTCGAGCTACTTGAAACGAGATTGGTACAGACAAAGGGCTAACTATGCTAAAAAAACAATGGCATCCAATGTGCAGGCACACAATATCGAAAAAATAGTTGATTAACTATATAACAAGAATGTCTGCAGCATCATGAACAATGGTTGTGTAACATCATGAACGACGAGCGATGGAGGACGGGCGACGTCAATCGGTCTACATATGCGAAGACGACGGCTCAGGTGCACGACTCAGGTGGCGTCGAGGTAGCGGCACGGTAGCCGAGGACGACGGCTCGGGTGCATGGCGCGGGCGAACGGCGTGGACTACGGCGCGGATGTCGTGGAGGCGGCGATGTTTCCAGGTGCACGATGCGGGCGAATGGCGAGGACGACGGCGCGACGCCGTGGAGGCGGCAGTGTACGTGGCGCAAGGGGAGGATGACGGCGCAGGCGCACAGACCAGACAATGGAGCAGGTCGTGGAGGGGAGATCGCACGGGGAGGTGATCTTGCGGCGACCTTGCGGCGATCGATGATGTAGCCACAGGTGCATCCACTGGTAGGCAGACGGTGGATGATCCATTGTTGTTGCTTCTCCACTACACGACGAGGAAGAAGTAGGGGCGGCTCGATCGTGCAGGAGCTTGAGGAATGGGGCAGGCGACGATCATCTTCGTGCAGCGACCAGTGACATGCTTGAGTCCTACCAAGAAGACGCGTTCGATCGTGCAGCGACAATGGTCTTCCGTATTTGTAGCGCATGCAAATCAGGGTCAAGAATTTTATATTTGTGGCACGAGGACGGTATGATCGAGCTTGAGACGTGGGTGATCGCTTTCCTTGTTTAGGCAATTAGGGTCAAGACTTTCCGTGTTTGTAGCACATGCAAATCAGGGTCAAGACTTTCCGTATTTATAGCGCATGCAAATCAGGGTCAAGACTTTCTGTGTTTTCTTCGCACCAAAGAACGTAACATGCGGGAGATGTCGTGGAATCGCATGCGTGGGCAGACGGACGAACCAAAACAAATGTCGCACCAAAAAATATCCACACTTTATTCTTTTTAGTTGTAGTAGATTGATACAAAACTGCATGTCCCTAGAATATATGAATTTATAGTGGCGTTTCTTTGCATCGCGAAAAGTTTTAATGACAATTAACCCCCCCCCCCAAAATTAAGCGGTTATACAGCATGTTAGTTTGTTGGTTTCAGCTAGAGCTTATCAGTCAGCCAATAGTATTTTTCTCTCGCAATAAACCAGCACCAGCCAGGCTTATCAGCCCAGAAACCAACCAGCGAACAGGCTCATAGAAACGATAATGTTTCCACGCGGGCGGGCGTCTGTCTGGACGCCATGCGCCACACTCCTCCTTATCGCTTCAGCCCACACTGCTCGCTCCCGCCTGCGACGTGCGCCTCACCCGCGACTCTTGCTCCCTCCCGTCGCTTGCCCAACTTGTCGCGCGGGCGGCCATGTGGATTCGACCCGCGTGTCGCGCGGCCCGCCCATCGCGGCCATCCTGCGCGCGCTGCCTCTGCTTTTCCCATCTCTCGCTCTCTCTATCTCGCGTTCATTGATAGCAAAGTGCCTCCCCGGCCTCTTCCCCAATCCTTAGCGCCGCCGAGATGCCTCACCGCAGCCACCCCTATCGACGGCCGCTGGGCGCACGTGCCGGGGCGCCTCGGGTCATCCCCGGCCGAGCCAAGGGCACCCACGAGCGCGATCGGATGCTAGTGGTGCTTGTGCGGTGCCGCTCGCCATCGGCTCCCACCATGACGCCCGGAATTGATCGGCCCAGGGCCCCCTCCCCTATGTTGCCAATGTATGTTTCAAGTGTTTCAGATGTTTTAGAGGTATGTTGTTGTTTCATATCGATATTGCAAAAATAGATTGAGAATGTTGCATATGTTGTAAGTGTTTCAGAGATATGTTGTAAGTGTTTGTTCAAAATATTTCATCTGTTTCAGATGTATGTTGCAAGCGTTTTGATCTAGATGTTGCATATGTTTCATATATATGCTGCAACAATATGTTCCAAATATTTTATCTGTTTCGATCTTTATCTTGCAACGAGTGTTTTCATGTTGCAAGATGCAAGTGTTTTATCTGGATGTTGCATATATTTCACACAACAAATGTGTATTCCAAATGTTTATCTGTTTCAGACGTATGTCGAGTGTTTCATATTGCACATGATTCATATCGTTCGGAGAGTCAGGGGCGCGAGGAGTGACGGTGGCATGGCACGGCCGCCGCGGAATGAGGCGCGGTGAGCGAGGGTGTCGGCGGACATGACGTGCGGTGTGCTTAGGGCCGGCGGTCGGACAGGGGTAGGCTGCTCTGGGTGTTCGGACGTCGGAGCGCTGGTCATACCGTTATTGAAAAAGTATCCAAACTATCGAATCTTCTTTTAGACTTGTTTAGATTCCAAGTTTTTTCACTCTCTCTCCATCACATCAAATCTTTGAACACGTGTATGGAGTATTAAATATAGATAAAAAAAATAACTAATTATATAGTTTAATTGTAAATTACGAGATGAATCTTTTGAGCCTAGTTAAACCATAATTAGATAATAATTATTAAATACAAATAAAAATATTACAGTATCAAATACTGATTCCTAGCCGCATCTAGACAGGCCTTAGAAACGAAACACGTCCTGGAGTCCTGGTGCTGTGGCAACCGCCGCTTCTTCCTTCCCCACAAAGGAAGCCACATCAAAACGCACCGCACCGTATTCGCACCGCACCGTGTGTTCCCTTGAGAATTCGCTACTCCCCCGCACGCCACCGCCGCCGCCCGTGGCGTAGCAGCCGGCACCCAATTCACCTCCCATCCTCTTCCTCCGCCGCCCCGACCCAACCCAACCCAACCCTCGCGGCCGGATTCCGTGATGAAGATCACGGCGCTGCTGGTGCTCAAATCCCCTGGCGATTCCTCCGCCTCCGCCTCCGCCTCCGGCGGCGGGGAGCAGCAGCAGCAGGCCGTGGTGCTGGCCAACGCGTCGGACGTCAGCCACTTCGGCTACTTCCAACGCGCCGCCGCCCGCGAGTTCATCCTCTTCGTCGCCCGCACCGTCGCCCTCCGCACCCCCGCCGGCAGCCGCCAGAACGTCCAGCACGAAGGCACGTCACGCCCCACGTCCCTGCCTCCTCCTCGTTTTGTTCCTTCCCCTTCCCTCCTCCACCAACACTAGACTGCGCACTGCGCTGATCCGACAGATTGTTGCTGACCCCTGCAGAGTACATGGTGCATTGCTACAACCAGAATGGCCTCTGCGCCATCGCCTTCACCGACGCCCACTATCCCGTCAGGAGCGCCTTCTCCCTCCTCAACATCGTACGCTACTCCTGACCCTATCTCTGTCAACTTCCCTGTTACGCGGTGGTTACTTTCAACTCAATCTAGTGAACATAGACAGCTTGCAGTTGCCGTATTACTGACGATTTAATCCCTGATCAGTTAGGCCTCGTCATCTATATTTCTTAAGTTAATAACCACGTAGCTGCCAATTGGCTTTCCTCTCTGCCAATTGTTATATAATGTCACCCCTTTGTGCTGTATATTTGCTGCAGTGGTTGTGATAACTTGATAATGCATGACCTCTCTTATTATTGTCATATGAAATAGATGATGCATCAGTCTCACAAAGGTTATCCATGTCCGATATCTTCTACTGTTCTACAGGTCCTGGAAGAGTACCAAAAAACTTTTGGAGAGTCATGGAGGACAACCAAAACTGATGTGACCCAACCTTGGCAATACTTGGATGATGCCCTAACCAAATACCAGGTTTGGTTCGTTTGGACCCATACACATGTGATTTTTTTTTTACATCAGCACTTGAGTAGTTATCTAGGGGACTAAATATTTTGGAAGAGAAAAACACGAAGCTCTGCTGTCTCATGCAGTTATGTCTTGAAAATATAGCTTATCCAGGAATCAGATTCTTGTACGCAACGAAACGGTTTGTTGTACTCATCTTATCAATTAGGCGTCTGTCCAAATCTGGAACTTTATGCGTGTACTGTTTTCCCCCCTTGTTGAGCACATCATTGTTCACTGACTAAATAAAGCTTGATTTGCCAATGATTGGTTTGTCTTCCAATTCTTTTCTTTGCAGGATCCTGCAGAGGCTGACAAGTTGTTGAAAATTCAGAGGGACTTGGATGAAACCAAGATTATTTTGGTAAGTAACTTCATGTTAGGGCCTGTCTAGTTCCTAAAATTTTTTGCGCAGTACCTATCACATCGAATCTTGCGGCACATGCATGGAGTACTAAATGTAAACGAAAAAAAAAACTAATTGCACAGTTGGATGAGAAATCATGAGGCGAAACTTTCGAATCTAATTATTCCATAATTAGACACTAATCGCTAAATACAAACGAAAGTGCTACAGTAGCCAAAACCCAAAAAATTTTGCATCTAAATGCGCCCTTAGTTGAACCCTCGGGAACATGACTAACTAGCTTCTCAAATTCTAAATGGAGTTATTTTCATGTGCACCATACACGAGTCCATATATGTTAGGCAAGGCTAAAGTTACGTCAGGGGGAGTTTTCTTTTACCCTGCTTGGGTTCGGAGCAAAGGGGCAGGATGTTATTACACTGCCGAACTGGTGCTATAATGTGTTTAGAACACTAGTATTTTTCTTATTCTCTTTCTTTATGGTTCATTCTTTACTTTTTGCGCATAGAGTTTGATAGTCTGCTCCTGCTTGCTGTTCAAAACTAGTAGCTGCCCGTCGACTGTATGCTCAGTAATTCTATTACAAATTCTTGTGGAATAGTGCAATATCAGCATTCTTTATTGTTTGCTGGCACTTTGACCAAGTGCCCTGCACCAGGTGCTTGGATACTCTTTCAGTCACCTGCCTTTTGAGCTATTTGCTGTTTATATGGCTGATGAAGAGGTCATGAGTTACTGCCGAGGTTAAGGCTATTCAAGGCTACTTTCTTCTTTTGCAAAATTTTAATTTATGTTCTTGATTTTGATATTTGCAGCATAAAACCATTGATAGCGTGCTTGCCAGAGGTGAAAGGTTGGATAACCTAGTGGAGAAGAGTTCTGATCTAAGTATTTCTTCACAGGTAGGGATTTTTTTGCTGTGTGTTTATGTTGTCCAAAGACATACAACAAGTTATGGCCTATGGGCAATTGGTCAAAATGATTCTTCTGTCCAGTTGCAACCCCTTGTGTTAACTACTGATTGAAAGACAATTTCTGAAGTTGTGTAGTGTCTAAGTTAAGCATCTGAATATGTATGAATCTTGGCAATTGAAATTCGAAAAATTGGATCTGTGACACCACAGGGTGCCAGTTTTAGGAGACCACTGAAGCAGCCTTAAACATTGATACCACCAAAAGATGCCATAGTTCAGATTTTTACCACTCGGTACATTTCTGTTGTGCCTTTTAGTATTCCCATTTTTATTTCTACATTTTTTGGGGCCATATTTGCCCTGCGTTTGGGGTTGATATTATCACTTGAGGAAGCCCTTTTAGTCAGAACGAGTTGAGCAGAGGGGCAGGGGTGGCGCAGCTCTGCTCCTCTCACCACTATGGGCCTGATTGGTATGTGTTGCTGTTCCTCCAAAGCTGCCACAACACACCAGATCCGGCTGCCCCTGCTCCAGATCGACACCACGGACCAGGTTACTGGAACCAAAGTTCTGCACCTCCGTTCCATGGTGTGTGGCCAGCCAGAGGACAGCAAATGAAGATCTAGAAGGGGCAGAGGAGGTTGATGTGAGGGGGGACAAAAGCGCGGTGGTGGAAAAGGGCACCTGGGACCGATGCTATGCTTCGGTCACCCCATGGGATAAAAGGGATCATGTTTTGGCCTAGACGCAGGAGGGCTGGGGCAAAATGGTTGACAGTTCCACCATTAATGCCTAATTTGGACAGAGTGGTACTTCACCGGGACGATATTAAAGTTTACCGAGTCGCCTTGGTGGTATTTCTCCAAAACCTGCACCTTTCGGTGTCACTGATCTATTTTATCTTCTAAATTTGACCATATATAGGTCTAAATTTCTTGGTCTGCCCCCCTAATGTCTTAGAAAGAAAAGGTGGGATGCAAAACAGCAAAAGAGAACAACATTGTATAGAATCATTTATAGTAACAATTCTTGCTTTCACTGACATCTCATAGCTGTTCCATTGTTTGCCTAGAGCAGTAGTGCGTGAGTCCAGCAACAGTAGGCTACAAGCAGATGTTCATGATATGTTGCAGCCCGCCGCTTGTTTTGTGCTGACATTTCCCTAACTTGTATGCAGATGTTCTACAAGCAGGCGAAGAAAACCAATTCTTGCTGTACCATCCTGTAAATGAAGGAAGCTGTGCATAATATCCAAGGGCAGTGGAGTTGTGTTTAGTGGTACTGGTGCCAGACGTATGCATCATGCTTCATGCCATGCCCTTTCCTTTGCTCTCGTATCTGAAGAAGGATTGGCATGAGCCTGATCGTTCGTTCTTGCCCAAAGTGTTAAACTAAGTAAAGGTAACTGATTCGACGAGTCTGCGCACATTTGTGATTCTTTGTAAGTAACATAAACGTGGTCAGTTTGTTAGTTATTGTGAATTGTGATGGGAGCTGTGCTTGCCTCGCCTTTTTTTATTTTATTTTATGGGCGTTTGGCGACTTGTTTGGCCCCCTTTTTGTTCTGTTTCAATTTGTGTTGGAGAGTCGGCACACGCTGGGTTTTGTAGCGTTGTGGTTGTGAGAGTCGAAACATTGACGAAGCTGGCGAAAGGGATAGTTCGGCATGCTGGTTTTGTTCGCGAAGTCAGAAGAGAGAAGCATGATGCTGTTGTCGAATTGAATTCACAGGAAGGTGGTAGTAAATCTCTAGATTAGTTCATGCCAAGAACTCAAGACTAGTTAGTTTGGATGAAGGCAGTGGCATCAGTATTCAGTAGTACAAGCATATATGATAGGGTTAATTAGATCTTGGACAGGAACATGGTGGCGAGGAAAACCCCAAGCCCAATCATGGAGACGCGAGCACAAACGGACGCTGCCAACCCCACCACCTGCAGCGAAGCAGTGCAAAGCATGAGCACCAACGGTTGATTGCACAGCACAGTGACCGACCTGACCTGACGAGCAAACGGAAAGAAAGCACAAATCACCTTGGTGGCTGCGCCGGTGGCGTCCCCGGTGTCCGGCAGCGGCAGCACGGTGGAAGTGTCGGTCATGCCGGTGGGCAGCGGCACCGTCGGGTTGCTGCCGATGAACGGGTACCCCTCGCCGCCGGGCCCCGACCCCGCCCCAGGGGCCGCCGCGGACGCGTCGCCCGGCTGCAGCGGGAAGCCGAAGTGCGGGACAGCCTGCTGCCCGGGCGCGTGGCTCGGCGGGGAGGACACGGACACGGGCGGCGGCGGCAGGTCGTCAGCTCCCGCGGTGGGCGGCGGCGCGGAGAGTGGCGGGAGGCCGGCCACGTGCGCGTGGGGCGCGGGGGCCCCGTGTCCGACGGCGCCGGCGACCGGATGGGCATGGGCGGCGTGCCACTGCCAAATGCCAATTGTTTGCAGTTGAGTCACTAGTGTAGTAGCTGAAGCCGGCACATGCATATTTGCAGAAGTTGCAGTGCAGAACACGAGCGGAACAGTTGGCCCGCCAAGAGAGAACGCGAAACAAGAGGCAGCAAGAAGCGGCGGCGGGCGAGGAGGAGAGGAAAGATTACCTTGGCGTCGTCGACCGCTCCGGCGGACCGTGGCAGCAGGAACGCCAAGACGGCGGCGCCGAGGAGGCGGAGCACAGTGAAGCCTCCGCCTCCGCCACCGCCGTGTCGCTTCTCCATCATCACCTCTTCCCTTCTCTTGTTCCTCGCGCTCTTGTTGAGCAGGGAAGGGAAGGGAAGGGAAGCAATCAGTGCAGTGACTCGAGTAGTTGCAAATGTACCGCTCTCACTCTGAGGGCAGCCGCACACTGTGGAGTGTGGACCGTGGAGTGCCGTGCCCTGGGTACCTTTAAAAATGTGCAGTACAAAACGCAGCATCCAGCAGGGCCTGCTTGTGCAGAGGAGGGGTGATGATGACGCTACAGTGTCCGGAGGAGGGAGGAGGGAGCAGGAGTGCAGGGACACTGCCCACACCACAGGCTACAACTGCAAAAGCTCTCTCCTTCTCTCACTAGTCTCTCTGTTTCCGTGTGGTGGGGTTGGGAAGGACGGAAGGCTGCAGTAAACGAGGCACTAGGCATTGGATTGGAACGGAATCTCATCTCCGTGCATGCCTGCGCTCCGCTCCTCCCGTCCGTCCCCATGGCCAAATGTTTGTGCTAGCTAGCTTTGGACCTTGGTCATTTGCGGTGCATAGGATGCCGCCTTGCCATCCGCACGATGTTGTCAGCTTTGAGGCTTTGACAAACATTCCATAGTCCACAGTTGACTGCCATCCATCAACCAGACCTCACTTGCACTCAAATTCTTTTCTTACTAGTAGTAGATATGTTGAGTTGAAGAATAAAAAATGCTCAAGAGCAGGAACAGCTTGGTTCGATGAAGAACACAGAGGCAGACACGGCGGTGGCCGTGCCAAAGAATGTCTTTCTTTCATGAGACCGAGACTGAGAAAAGAACCTTAGAATCTTTTTGCATCTTTGACCTGCTGGTACTAGTCTGGTACTACAAGGAGTAGAAGCATCGGCGTGTGGTTATTAAACAAATGTAACCACAATGCTTACGCTTGTAAAGACGTGCTAAAAGAAAAGAAGGCCATAACGAGATGCTAATTAGGGCACCCGCGCAACGGTACAAGCCAGTTACTAGCTCTAAATTACCCTCTCCAATAATGTTAGTTTTTAGCAATGGCTTATAATATGATTAAACTCACATGACACCCCATATAATCTTAGAATATGTGTATGAGCCTGACTCTCGATAAGAGTTAGCTTTTCTCTCTCTTCTATTTAAAAAATAAAAAAATGTTAAGAGGTAGCTTAGGAGTCAGCCACAGCGGCTGCCCTTACACTCCTGCTAGTACGAAACAAGCCTTCCTCCTTCGCCGGATGGGAGTGCGTGCATGTCCATCCATGTCCTCTCCCTCTACCGTTACTTTTCCCATCGTCGTTGAATTCAACGGGAGCACGGCACAGCAGCGTGCTCCTACCGTTACGTTGTTTTCTTTGTATGGGAATGGCGCCTGTTCTCTTCTGTCTGCACCAGCACGCTGCACCTGTCTCTGCATACCCATGGCCGGACCTGTTTGGGTTTGCCGACAGGCCCGGTTTCAGTAGCCTCCACCGGCCCACCCGGGCCCATCAGGACTGCAGCGTGCTTTGTTGTACCTACTCCTAAGCACTTAGCAATGAACTAATGATCCGCGGCTGCAGCAGTGCTGATGGTTGGCATGCCGTGCTTCCCGTGGTAAAATGAGGGACCTCTTTTTCGTATTGAGCATCAATTACAACAGATGATGCTCCTGTCTCATTCACAAAACTATCTTATATTTAGGTACCTCTTTTTGAATGCTTTAATAATACGCTATAGTATTACATTACGGGACGGATGGAGTTGGGAGTAGTCCATTCCATGCATTGAAGGAATAGTCAATAGGGTTCCTGTTCTGCCAACAACGAACAAAAAAAAAGGACAAATTGTTTGTTACACCTGCAAAAAATAACACTGAAGTAACAATGAGCATACGGACTTACCTGCAACCATAAGCCAACAGCTGCCTTCCAGGCCTTGTTTAGATGCATCCCAAATTCCAAGTTTTTTCACTCTCTCTCCATCACATCAATTTTTAGCCGCTTGCATGGAGTATTAAATGTAGGTAAAAAAATAACTAATTACACAGTTTAGTTGGAAATCACGAGATGAATCTTTTGAGCCTAGTTGGTCCACGATTGGACAATATTTGTCAAATAAGACGAAAGTGGTACTATTTATCGGGTTGAAATTTTTTCAGCATCTAAACAAGGCCCCAATATCTTCTGCAAAACTGCAACAATTACCTGCAGGCTGCAGTAATGTTAACAGAGAATGGCAAGTCTTCTCAAGTAGACTATACCTGACAGGAAAGGGGAAATAGACTCATTAGTACTGGTTGAGTTTTTCGCTCGTTGGAGACTGGCCCTTGTTTAGTTGGGTGAATTTGGATTTTGGTGTTACTGTAGCACGTTCGTTTTTATTTAGCAAATAATGTTCAAACATGGACTAATTATGCTCAAAACGTTCGTCTCGCAATTTCCCACCAAACTGTGCAATTAGTTTTTATTTTCGTCTACCTTTAATGCTCTATACACGGGCCGCAAACATTTGATATGATAGGTACTGTAGTAATTTTTTGGACTTTGGGGTCCAACTAAACAAGGCGTTGGAGTTCAACCTGTCAGTGAGTACATGTTTTCTAAATGGCAGTGAAAATGAATAGCGAAGCTTCTCAACCAAGCATGGCATGATTCATGCCTTGTCCAGGCCAGGAGCTGCAACAGCATCAATTCACTTGTAGCAATATCAACAAGCCTTTGCCATCATTGTCTGCAACTATCGCAGCGTGCAAAACTGGAGCTTACCTCTGGGGCTCCAGGCTTCAAAGACAGGATAGAATGATTGCCACAACTTGGTGCTCGATTCTAGCTAACGCGATGTAACGCTAATTAGCGTGTATCCCAAAACAAAACCTTGTAACCTACATGGCTGCTTAAGAGCCAATTATCAATAATAACAACCAGGTGGGCGGCGAGTTATCAACAACAACAAAAAAGCCTTTGCCATAAAATCTGACGGTAGGACCAGCTAAAATAGGCACCAAAAAACACAGAAAAGGAAAAAAGAAAGGCATTTCTGAATCACATATAAAAGAAGAAAAGGTAAAGTCTGCCATGCTCAATTTTCGAAGACAAAACCATAGTTGCTCATGTTAGACCTGACTGCTCTAGTATGTAGTAGGACGCACCATATGCTAAACAAGTGTGTCCACCATGCTAAAGAGTAGTAGGACAAGAACGCCTCCATTTGCCATTTCTAATTCTAACCGCACACATAACCTTCCATAGAATGGATTGCTCTTTAGCATGGTCCGGCCGCAGTGGCGGCACGCCGGCACTGGAATAATGCAGCTCACTAGCAGATAAGTCTATTTGCTCCTCCAGATATAATACTGAAGCAAAGACCTCCACTGGCAACAAGTGGCATCAAGCCTGGAAATAGAGTTCGAAATAAGGAATGTCAGCTGCAACACCAAGTACATACACCATATAAACGGTTAGGCAATAAAACTTGCATTGCTGAAAAAACAGGAAAAAAAAATGCAAATTTTGGAACAAAATAAGCCTATTCAGACATTAAAAAACTGCATGTATGGAGCCTTTGGGAGCTGTTAACTTTTCCTGTGACCACGAATGCTGTGGCACAATCCACTACTTTGCATGGGAAAGATGTGTTCGATCAAATTATTACATCCCTTATCAAGAAAAAAAAACATGATTGCATACTCCTGCAGACGTTATTTGTATTTCTAATTTTATACAAATTTCAAAAGTAGAGGTTGCTTATACAAAAAATTATATGGTCATTCCAAAGAGGAGAGTACCACAATTAAACTGACAATGTATCTGACTTATTAATGCTTCACATTTTCTACATAATATTGAGCAAAATGCAACAATGCACACGAAGGACAGATTGATAGTTGAAGCTAAAAAGCATAAGCAATCATGATAATTTACAAAACATTATCATTTGTGTACTAAATTCTAGCAAATATTAATTGACATGTAAAAGTTATAAAATGCACACCAACTATAAATTCTGCATATTATAATATAATAGTTATAAAAGTACAGAGACTTTTACCATATTTTTAGATAAAATATATTATACACAGGGACTTTTAGGTTTCTAGTTGTACACTGAATAGTTACCACGTACGTTTTGCCAAAATCGTTGATGTATCATAACAAATCCAAATACCACGGGAAATAACCACTTATTTAGTGGGTAATGGCCTACTGACTGGATTGGGCTGACAACACAGTCCATGGAATCTGATTGCAGTTTATCCAAACCAAATAACATCTAACCTCTAACAAATAATTAACATTAACATATTTTTTTTACACAAACAGTTGAAGCAAATTATATGATGTCTAAATGGTGGATAATAGCAAAAGCAGGACGGTTGAAATAAATAAAATGGTAGACACGCAGACTTACCCCAAGCCGTGGTTCTTGCTTTATCAACCATTGCGGGTCAGTTTCTCTGCAATACATGAGTCCTTTTTCCTACAAGGACACAATATTTATATCAGTTTGGAGTTTGAATAAGATCAAAAATTTCAGCCGGTGTTAGTTTATCATGGATCAAACAATATGAGAACCACATTGACCCCTTTAAATGGTATAAATAATCTATGAAAAACTTAGCTGGATATAGACTCACCAATATCTATGACAGCAACAAGTAAATATATGATGAGTAAACTCATGGGGGCTTGGCGGTGGCATCTTTACAGTGTTTCCATCACTGGCTGGAGTCCACATGCCAGTACTCAGGCTGTACTGCTCAAAAAGTTGTTCTCCAGCGTTCAGACGGGACCAACGTAAGCAGATGACAGAATTAGGTGAAACAGACGGCAGCCATTTACTCAAACCCCTTGTTTGGTGGAAGTGAAACACAAAGACAACGTTCCCCTAGAAACAAGGCATAGTTCCCAATGCTTGTTATAGGCACAAACCTTCCGATGACAAGGTCAGCGAGTCTGTATACTGCTAGATCTATGCGAGACTCGTCCTTGTAAGCAACAACCAATATCTCTGAGCCACACTCTACTAGGCCGAAAATAATGCTGAATCTGTCC